TCAGCCTTGTAGCTCTGAGTCAGTAACAAAGTGTACTGAGATATAAGCAAACCACAATGCCAAAAATACTTGTATGTCAATCTTATAACTCCCACTGACTATTAACCTATGTGACTTCAGGAAAATTACTGTTCCTATGTGAATCTTGTTTCCTTCATCTTACAATGATGAGGAATTGTACTTGTACTATGCAGCACAAGAAATGATTGGTAAGTGGTTAATGTGATGCCTAGTCATTTTGAGTGCACAATACAGTATAATTGTGGTTATTATGACTATTATCAATGATCCATTTTTTTTTCCTATCTATGCACTAAGTCAGTAATGTTTCTGAGTCATTATCCTTTCCAAAAGTAGTGAAACTTCCATTGTGAGAGGGTTTTTTTTTTGTCCTTCCTTCTTTATTTCTGATCCTTGAAAACTGAAACATTAAGGCAACATTTTTATATAGGAAATAAATAATTATTGAGTGCAATAACTTTTAGAGAAATTTTTTATAGTGCCATATGGAATGGGGCTGGAGCGATAGCACAGCAGGTAGGGGGTTTGCCTTGCATGCGGCCAACACGGCCGACCCGAGTTTGATTCCTCTGCCCCTCTCAGAGCCCGGCAAAGCTACCCAGAGTATCTTGCACGCATGGCAAAGCCTGGCAAGCTACCATGATGTATTCGATATGCTAAACACAGTAACAAGTCTCACAATGTTACTGGGCCCGCTCAAGCAAATTGATGAACAACGGGAGGACAGTGACAGTGATATGGAATGAAGAATTCCTAGTAATTGCCTAATGTATGCCATATAAATCTGCTATGGAAATGAATCTGAATTGTACAAAAATCCAATTAGACTACAAATACTCCTTAGAAAGTTTATATTAGGGTCCTTCCAGGGCATTCTGAGTAATGCAGTAAGATAAAGTTCAGGATAAAAACAGAACAAAACAGGAGGAACAAGACAAACAATAACCTAGGTGTTTTGTCTTTTTTTTATATTGTTTGACAAAATTTCTCTATTTCTTCACCATTTAAATAGAATTCAAATTCCACTTATTTTTTTACCCTCTTTTTAAAAGTTTCATCTGCAAGTTTCTTCATAAGCCAATTATTCCTAAACCTATGTAGTCACTGCCATTCTAATTCCTGTACCTAGAGTTAATTTTTTACTAAGGAAGAAAGCAATAAAGACATCTTGAAAAAAAATTAACTACCCATAATTCTGCCTCTCTAAAAGAAATATTTTCATTTTACTTATTATCTTCCAGTTTTATCTATGATATACATTGTATACAAATATATAAATATGTTTATTTTGTAACAATTTGCAAATTTTACATAGAGTTCAAATGTTAATAAAATTTAAAATTTTATTAGATCAATAAATGATACGGTTCCTTTGTAGTTGTTTTATAAATGGTTGTCTGCTATTTTCTCATTTTGATAACAAAATCTAATAATAGAAAATTATAATTGCTTTATATTTTGTTGGACTGGAGCAATAGCACAGCAGATAGGGCGTCTGCCTTGCATATAGCTGACCTCAGTTCTATTCCTCCATCCTTCTTTGAGAGCCTGGCAATCTACCAAGTCTATACCACCCACACGGCAAAGCCTGGCAAGTTACCCGTGACATATTTGATATGCCAAAAACAGTAACAGCAAGTCTCACAATGGAGATGTTACTGGTGCCCACTTGAGCAAATCAATGAACAATGGGAGGACAGTGCTACAGTGCTATATTTTGGATTTTCTACAAGTATATGTATTTTATATTGAATAAGTTACTTCACTCATTATGTTCTGTTTCTGTACTATTCTTTCCTCAAGATAAACTTACAACACTTGAACTACTGGTTATCGTATCTGAACATCTTACGGTTGGGTTATTGTTCTGCATCATCAAGTTACTTTCCAAACAGGTTATTGATCAACTATATTAAATTCTTCCCAAATATGGAGTTTAAATGTTATAACAGGGGTCAGAGAGATAGTACAGAAGGTAAGGGTTTGCCTTGTACATGGCTGACCCAGGTTGGATTCCCAGCAGTCCCAAGTACCACCAAGAGAAATTCTTTAGTGTTGAGGTAGGAGGAAACCCTGAGAATTGCTGGATGTGATTCTCAAACCAAAAAAATTAGTAATTAAAAATGTTATGACATTGGTCAGGGAGATCTCAAAGGGCTGCAACATATACTAGCAGGCCCTGGGCCCTGAGTTCAAACCCTGACAATGCATGACCTACTCACTATGCACTAATGGACCCTAGTAGCCCCAGAACTGCTGAGCCTGAGCAACACTGGATCACTGGGCCAAGCACTGAGACTCAGTCTAGTATTGATAGAAGTGATCCCTGAGCACTGCTTGGTGTCTCCCACAAATGTTAAAATACTAACATATAACCTAGAAGACAAAAGACAATTGGACAAGTTTCCCAAGCCCATGCAATATGGGGTAGAAAGTAACCATGATCTATGTAACCTATAAAAATTGGTTTACTATCCTGGTATTCTATTTTAAAACATTTAGGGCTCTGTGAACATTTGAATTAACTTGTTTTGATTTCGCCCGCATGGCAGAGCCTGGCAAGCTACCCGTGATGTATTCGATATGCCAAACACAGTAACAACAAATTCTCCAATGGAGACGTTACTGGGCCCGCTCGAGCAAATTGATGAACAACAGGAGGACAGTGACAGTGACAGTGACAGTGACAGATTATTTCTGATGCTGTCTTCAAAATGTTTCCCCCTTTAAGTTAGAGAACTAAATATAGTGTCCGCACCAAGAAAGTAAACTGAAATCTATTTTTAATATCTTCATTAAAACAATTACTGAGATTCTTATAAGTAGAAACAATAACTGTGCTAAGTTAAGTTTGCTAATTTAATGGTGAGGAATAGCAAAAATCATTCTCAGGTTAGTGGAGGAAGCACTGAAGTATTTGATTGTACAGGGTGTTTCACTTCAATTCTGCCTTAATATATCAACTGTGAGACTTTTAGAATGTGCCTCCCCTCTTTGATTTCTGCTTCTTCAGCTGTGATGTTGGAAAAGATGGTTTAAGAAATCTACTTCGACTAGTTTGCTCACATAAATTAATTCTCTGCACTCTTTCCTAGCTCATATAATGATTAATACTAACTTATGCAGCTCATTCATCACCAAGTGCTTCTGAGACAGGAGTAAAAGAACCCCCAGTTACAAATAGCTCCTCAAGAAGAATGGCATGCAGTTGTTTACTTACATTTCCTAGCATTTATTAGAACTGCAGGCAGGTGAAAGAAACTGGTATCCATTAAGGAAATACAGTTTCCAAGCTAATGTGCACTGACAGACCTTTTACAGACATTAACTGTACTGCTTCAGGCTAGAGTGGTAAAACTATTCTGATTCCATTCAGTTTGGTTAGGGACACAGAGAAGCAGAGTTAAGTCTCAAAAAGCGTTTCCTCTTCAGTTAACAAATGACCAGGCTGGCTGTGTGAGAGGAAGAAAAAAAGACCACAGGATAATATCCTACATATCCAGGGAAAAGGGCTGAAAAGTGCTCCTGGCTCTCACCATCTTTTCTTTCTTACCACAAAAGCGCACCACTGACATGACCCTAAAGAAATTCCAAACCTTACAGTCAGTAAGCAACTCAACACTCAACATTTGCAGGGAGCACTGCACTTCCTCATCCATTGAAATTCCATCCAAAGCAACTTCCTCTTCCAGGCTACTAAAGTTCAAAGTCTAAAAGCCCTACAAGCTATTCTTTCCATTTTTTTCCCCAGATACGTAAATTTGAAAACCAGAATAGCATGGTTCCAAAATAAATACTTTCTACTCTGTTTATTTACCCCTTCTGTGAATTTCTTTATACTTAGGGAGCCTTCAGAGTGACATTCATCCTCTTGTACTTATTCAAATGTCCTCTACACCACTGGGTCTTATTAAAAAAAAAAACAAGTAAAGGGTAAAGAAAGTAAAAAACAATAAGTAAAAAGAGTATTTTCTCTAGGAAATTTGTTACTGGGAAACAACTATTATTTATAATAGAATTTGCCACAGGCAATACTCTACAACTCAGACTGTAACAATAAAAACACATTTGCAATTTTCACATCACTATTTACATAAAAATTCACAAGCAGGGCGAGTCACTTGGCCAAATGCCCTGTTTTCTGCAAAATCACTAGTGCTCATATGTGCATAAACATGATCTAAGTCTTCATGAGTCTTGAATGTAAACAGCCTAATTTGTGAGCAGTGCCATTAAGCATTGAAAATAAGGAATTTGGGGTTGGGGAGAGACTATGGAAATCCAAAGAATTACTTCCCTAGATTAAGATGTCTCAACTCATTTAGGAATAGTAAAGCAGCAGCAGAGGAAATAAAATCTGGGAAAGAAACTGACTTTTCTACCTGCAGTGAGTGTTGATCCTAAATAAGGGATGGAACCAGGATCAGCTGTTCGTAAAGAAAGCCCTTGCATTTATATACTATCCAACCTACCAAAGACTGACTATAGTGCAATATTGCAGCTACTGATTTTTATCAAGTTGTGTACTATGAGTGTGGAAACTAATTTCTTTCAGAACCTCAGATGGTTTTTAAAAAAAATTTAATTAGTTTTTATTGAATTGCTGTGAGATACACAGTTACAAAAGTTGTTAGTGATTAGATTTCTGTTATACAATGTTGCAACACCCATCCTCAGATGAGTTTTTATAAGGCTCCTAATATCCACAAATAATAAACAAGTTAAGTTTATTACTTGGTCAGATGACTTAGCGACATCTTTCACTGGAAAGACAAACTATTTTTAAAAAGTATTTTAAGCATATTCTGAATTTTTTTTACCATAAAGAAAAAACTGCAAATACTTTTTGCAAGCAGAAGGAAAATGTACCAAAAACTCTTACCAAGTCAGTTTAAAATATTGTTATTATCATGCATAGAAATGAGATACAGGCTTATCATTACATAAAAATTTTATAGAAATAACTTGATGGATCCTACCTTTTTCAGAAACCGGACTCCATATGTAAATACGTAAAGGTAAAATGAAAATCGCCACCTGTAAAAATTTTTTTAAAAAAATGTTATGTTGCTTAGTTCATTTATTTCACAGAATACAGTCCCACCCTCACCAGGCATGAAATAAAGTATGTACAATCTCAGTATGTACATGGGGGATGAAACCCACATTTGCTCAAACATGGCCTTCTGGAAATATATTAAATGGTAACAAACATGACATAAATTTTGTTTTTGTTACCAAATTTGCCCATTGCTCATCTTGTCTTTCCCTAAAATGTTTCTCTGGTTACTCAGGTCAGGTCAGGAAGGAATATATTTCAACACAAAGGTATGTAATGTATTCCTGTCCGGTTGAGATATTAAATAAATAAGTACCTAACTGATGTACAGATTTGCTTTAAAAATTAAACCCTTAAAAATCAAGAATGTGACCCATTGGCAGAGCAGATGTCTTACATGTGTTAAGCTTTGGATTCAAGTCCCAGTAGGGTAAAAAAAATTCAAAATAAAAGCCTAATATTTTAAATCAAGTAAGATTTTGTTTCATCCTTTAACAGTTACTGTCATTATTGAAGATGCTGCTAAAGAAAAGCATTTTTTTGATTTATTTTTTTTAAATTTTTTTTTATTAGTGAAACACCATGAGGTACAGTTGTAGATTTACAATTTTTTGTGCTTGGGTTTGATTATACAATGATCAGATACCCATCCCTCCACCAGTGCCCATTTTCCACCACCATGGATAATATCCTCCCCACCCCCACCCCCCCATCCCCCCCTGCCTCTGTGGCAGGGCAATCCCCTGTGTTCTCTCTCTCCTTTTGGGTGTTGTGGTCTGCAAAAGAGGCATTGAGTGGCAAACATGTTCAGTCCATAGTCCACTTTAGACATGCATCTCCCCTCCTGGGAGGGTCCTCCAACACCCTTTATTTGGTGTTCCCTTCTCTATCTGAGCTGCCCTTTCCTCTAGAATGCCCGACTGGCCACTAAGCTATGGAGTAATCCTCCTGGTGCTGATCTCAGCTATTCTTGGGTATTAATCTCATATTTTGTTACTTTATATCCCCCAGATGAATGCAATCTTTCTATGTCTATCCCTCTCTTTCTGACTCATTTCGCTTAGCATGATACTTTCCATGTTGTACCACTTGTATGTAAATTTCATGACTTCATCAAAAGCATTTGAAATTGAAATCATCCATCAAATGTACAACTGTTAATAACTCCTACACCAATCTACACTATACAGCTTTTACTTTTTTTAATAAGGAAAAATTTAAGATTTTATTTAAATTCATAGTATTACTATCCTGCACGGCAAAGCCTGGCAAGCTACCCGTGACGTATTCAATATGCCAAAAACAGTAACAAGAAGTCTCACAATCTTACTGGGTCTGCTCGAGCAAATTGATGAACAAAGGAGGACAGTGAGAGTATTACTATTATTATGATGATGATGATGATTATGATTATGATCATTATGTTTGGGGGCCATAACCAGGGGAGCTCAGTGCTAACTCCTGGGTCTGTGCTCTGGGATCACTCTTGGTGGTGTCTCGGGTACTGGGATCAAACCAGGGTTGGTTGTATAGAAGGCAAGAACTTTAACCCCTATACTATCTCTCCAGCCCATTCTCATAGTAAATGACTGAATACTTGTTTTTTGAAACAAGACATTAATAAACACAAATAATCCATATAAATTACATATGCATATTTATGTATGGTTACTACCCCAAAAAACTTATCTTGGTAATTAATGCCCAATTTTATTTACCATACTTTCTGATTCAGGACACACCAGCTAGCATTCTCTAGCATTTCTAAGGTTACACATTGATGGTATAGGGATTATAAACCAGAAATGAACGCAAAGGAGAAAGTAGTTCTGGGACTCAGGTAGAATAATACTTTATTGTTGTTTGTTTTGTGGGCCATGAAAATTGTCAAATACGGTTTAAGAGGAGGTAATTTTAGGAGCTGATTTGAGTTATAGTCAAAACATTTTGGAGAATATGACTGCTATCTTCAGATAAAAGAAAAATAAAGATGCTTGGGGGTTCCTGAGAACTGAGTAAGATCTAACATCAGGCACTAGTATCCCTCAGAAATTCCTTCCTTAATTCCTGATTGATTCTTCAAAAACTGTAAGATCAAAATCAGAACTAAGAGAAAAGAGCTTTGAATCTTCTGAAAATCTTCACCTATAAATCATAAAATCTGAATTCAGGAAGGAACATTAAAAACAGAGAAAAGCAGTGATAATTTGATGAAAGCATCCAAACATTATATTAAGGCAATGATTCTAAAATCTACAAAGACACCTTGTAAATAAAGGTTCTTCACTAATATTATAGTATCAAAGTCAAGGACTAATTTTAACCCCATCTCCATTATCAAGTTCAAGGTGTTGATGAGAGAGAGCATCTTTGTTTGATATAAAAATTCTGCATTAGGAATGAAAACAAAAAATAGCTTCAAGGATGTGTAACGTGCAGTCACAAAGGGTCCTAGACTTGATTTAATGTTCTTTGTCACCATTTTGAAATTCTTAATGGTTGAATGAGACCACATATTTTGTTTTGTAGTACATCCTGCTAATTTTGGGCAAATCAACTAACTTCTCTTCACCACAATTACAACCCTATAATGGGATAATAATACTCTTTACAATAATATACTATTTTGGTATTATACCAACAGTCAAGGTTATTCTACACTTCTCTCTAGTATATATCAACCCCTGTTGTATTAAACTTACCACTTTGAGTATGATGGGATCCTCTTTCTGACTTGGGAAGGCAACTAAATTCACAACATAGATTAATAACAGCCGGTTCTACTCAAAAAGTTTCCTGTTAGCAGGCAATAATCTACCAGTTTTTATGTATAATAAAAATTTATGGAAATCATTGAAATTCCTATAACCACTTATGTATCTACATTTATTTTGTCACTAAAATGACCCAGTTTCCATAAGACATAGGTTCAATTACAGTAAAAGTGATACCCACATCATTTGAATACCAACTTGTGATGAATATTTACAAGGCAGATTTTATTTTCATATAACACCAGGAAGCAAAATTTTCAAGCATTGTGCCACATGTAGAAAGTACTTCTTTTGGGGCTAGAGTGATAGCACAGCGGGTAGGGCGTTTTCCTTGCATGCGGCCAACCCAGGTTCAATTCCCAGCATCCCATATAGTCCCCTGGGCACTGCCAGCAGTGATTCCTGAGTGCAAAGTCAGAAGTAACCCCTATGCATCGCCGAGTGTGAGCCAAAAAGCCAAAAAAAAAAGTCCTTCTTTTAAACTTGTGAACTTGTGTATAGCCTCTGCCAACCTTGCATCTAAAATATCTATAAACAAAGAATATAAATAAAGATAAAGACAAACACACACACAAAAAATAACTTTCACCATACAGCAAGAATTAGAGAAGAAACTTCAGAGTAGAAAGTGAATAAAATTAGATTTTAAAAGAGCAAAGGCAATGAGAACCAGGCTATAAGTCTTCAGAGATATGGGAAATTTTATGTTCCTTTCTCTATTTTCTGTCATCTGTACAGAAATAAAAAATTGTACCAGTAAGAAAGTTTGACAAATCTATTGTGAATGATGCTTTTTTTGGGCAGTAGGAAAATTTCCCCCCCTGATCTATTAGTCACCACTACTTTCAAAAGATATGTGAATAAAGGAGGTCCTGGTCTTGGAAATTTTAGTTGCAGAAAAGCAGATTTAATGTGCTGATCTGTGGTGGTTTGGCATTATAGTAGTTAGACTTCTTATATAATACACACAGAGCCATTGAGAACAAGAAATTGAAGAATCTTTATACAAATACTCCTGCCCAATGGGAACAGGTCAGAAGAAAGAGTGGGGTGGGGGGTGGAGGGAGGAAGGTTATCTATATAAACATGCTACAAGACCTCAAAAAAGATGTAAAAGAAAGCAAACAGAGTAGAAATAAAAGTAACTCATGTACCCTCCTTGTGATTTCCTCTAGATTTATATTTCCAAATAGGAAAGAAATCAATAGCTACATATCAACATAAGTCTGCTAAAAACTATTATATAAATAGTAGAAAGAAAATAACATGCCAAACATTTTTAAAAAGTGTTTACTAAAAACCACTAACTAGAAAAATCATATAATTTTTAGAAAAGTATTTGCATTAATAGATTCAAGAGATGAGCCTAAAAATAGTCATAGATTAAAAGACAAAAGATATCTGGAAAATTCTTATTTTTTAAGAAAAGATTACTAGTGAAATAAAATAGTACTAAAAGGATTCTAGAACTGTTTGTTTTGGAGCCACATTCAGTGGTGATCAAGGTCTGTTCCTGGCTCTGTCTTTAGGGATCACACCTGGAGGCACAAGGGGACCATATGTGGCACCAAGGATAAAACTGCAGTTAGCTGTGTCTAAGGCAAGTGCTCTAACTACTGTGCTATTTCTCTCACCCAAGGATTATAAAACTATAATGACAGAATGAATATTATCCACAAAGTGGGGCTGGGGCTGGAAAGCAAAGAGAAAATGCTGATGCATACTGTGCTGGAGCGATAGCACAGCGGGTAGGGCGTTCGCCTTACAAGCGGCCAACATGGCCGACCCGAGTTCGATTCCTCCGCCCCTCTCGGAGAGCCCGGCAAGCTACCGAGAGTATTCGATATGCCAGACACAGTAACAACAAAGTCTCCAATGGAGACGTTACTGGGCCCGCTCGAGCAAATCGACGATCAACGGGAGGGCCTTTACTTTACTTTACTTTACTTTACTTTACTTTACTGTGATAAATTAAATCCGCGATGAGAGACAAACACCTTTAGAAGGCTGGAAAAGAGAGCTAATAGATTAAAAAGACCCTAGATCTGGAGGAGCATCACCAAGGATAATTAAAATTGTTTCTAGGAAAACACAAATGAAGAACTGAAATAGAAGTAATAATCAAAGGCAAACTTAAGGGGAAAAAACTGAACTGAAAAAAAATAAAGAGAACTAAATTTAATCATGAACCATCGATTCAAAGA